TCTTCGAGTAGACCTGCCTTGTAAGCAATGTTAAATTTGCTAGAGAGAAGGAAAATAATATATAGGTCAGAAACTTGGATCTACATTAAAAAAAAAGGAGAGGATCAAAAAGGGAATGAGTAAGGAAAGTCAAAACCCTTTATTTTTCTTCTCCTTGATTGATCTAATGAGTAATAGTTTGTTCAAAATAAAAATAGTAATGATGTATTCAAATAATAGTAACAAGGTATTCAAATGATAGTGGCAATGTATTCAATGATATAATGGTTAGGACGAAGGAATTAAATTATTTTGCTATTATAAAGTACACAAAATACTTGTGAGTGCTATATACTTATTTGAAAGGCGAAGGCTCTCTGCCCCAGAGCCAGGCAGTGGAAGAAGCAGGCTATCTCCGCTTCCTCTGGGAGAGATGAAGCCGCTGAATACCAAGCTGAGGAAAGCTGTCCCATCTCCTGACACCCTTCAAATTGTACGAATCAGTGCCCCCCTCCACCTGCCCCCAGGAGGACCTGAGCCAGTGCGCACTAAGAGACTATAGTTTGGCACCCGCTGGGAGCTCTTGGCTCTGGGGCTGGCTGCCACCACTTTTTTTCCTCCTTTCACCGTGGAGACCATTCGCCCTAGAAAGGCTCAGTCTCCAGGGAACGAGGACCTCACAGGACAAACAGCTTACACTGAACCAGTCCACCTGGCAAGGGGCGGGGCACTTCTGCCCAGGCACAGACACCTGGGAATCGGTGCAGCAGCCTCTCCCCTAGAAGACCAGCTAAAAGAACAGGGGAACACCAAGTTTACTGACCAAACAGCACTGAAAAGCTGAAAAGCTTCAGGACTGAGGGAAAATAGTGTATGGAACTCGAGGTTTTTTCCTTAAGACTTGTTTATCTTTCAGGTTAAAAATTTCCAATATTTCTTTTTTCTTGCTTAACTATAATATTTTATCAACTCTTTGTTTTTAAGTTTTTTCCTTCTTGACTTTCATATTTTTACAATTACATGTCATAGATATATTCCTCATTGTTGGCTTCCTTTCAACATATTCAATTAAATTTTTTTGTATTCAATTAAATTTTTATATGTACATAAGTTTTTGGTGTTTTTGTTTTGTTTTATAATTTTGAATTTAGTACCTTCTAACACACAGACCAAAAATACACTCAGAACTAAGAGGATCACCATCTTGGTCCACTCTGTGAGACTATATTCTCTCTCCCTCCTCATTTCCTCCCTTCTCCCTTTTTAAATTTTTACAATTTTTTAAAATTCATTTTTCACTTTCATAGTCTTTTAAAATTTTCTGGTCCCTGACCTCTTCAGAATTCTTTATGGTATATTTTTCTCAGGTCATGGTTGATATTTTTGACTCTGCTTACTCAGACAGTCATTCTGCACTGGACAAAATAACTAGAAGGAAGAATTCGCCACAAAAGAAAGAACCAGAAGTAATACTCTCTGCCACAGATCTAATGGATATGGATTTAAGTAAAATGCCAGAGATAGAATTCAGGATTACAATCATACAATTATTGGTGGCTCTTGAAAAAAGCATAAAAGACTCTAGAGATTCTGTTACTGCAGAGATGAGATCTAATCAGGCCGAAATTAAAAATGCTTTCACTGGGATGCAGTCTAGACTGGATGCTCTAACAGCTAGGGTTAATGAGGCAGAAGAGAGAGTGAGTGACAGAGAAGACAAGTTGAGGAAAAGAGAGAAATACAACTAAGAGCCCAGGGGAAGAGACTCCAAGAATTAATAGTTTGAGAAAGAATAACATTCATCTTATTGGGATTCCAGAGGACGTAGAGAGAGAGAGAGGATCAGAAAGCATATTTGAACAAATAATAGCTGAGAACTTCCCTAATCTGGCATTCATATCCAAGAGATAGAGAAGACCACCCCCCCAAATCAACTAAAACTGATCAGCACCCCAACATATAATAGTAACGCTTGCAAATTTCAGAGATAAAGAGGAAATCCGAAAGCAGCTCAGGACAAGAGATTCCTAACTTATATGATGAGAAATTTCAAATTAACAGCAGACCTATCCCCAGAGACCTGGCAGGCCAGAAAGGGCTGGCATGATGTATGCAGGGTACTAAATGAGAAAACCATGCCAAGAATACTTTAACCAGGAAGGCTGCAGAAGGAGCCACAATATCCTTCAACAGATGAATGGATAAAGAATATGTGGTATATATATGTACAATGCCATATTACTCAGCCATCAGAAAGGATTTATACCTACCATTACCATTGTTGTGGATAGAAATAGGGGGTATTATGCTGAAATAAGTCAACTGAAGAAAGACAGTTATCATAATGGTTTCACTCACATATGGAATATAAGAAATAGTGAAAGGGACCAAAAGGGAAAGAAAGGAAACTGAGTGGGGAAAGATTAGAGAGGAAGACAAACCATAATAGACTCTTAACTCTGGGAAACAAACAAAGGGTTGCAGAAGGGAGGTGGCAGGGAATGGGGTAAATGGGTGATGGCATTAAGGAGGGCACATGATGAGATGAGCCCTGGCTGTAATACTATATGTTGGCAAATTGAATTTAAATAAAATATTCAATTAAATAAAATATTTAAAAATAAAATAAAAGGCATAAGAAAATAAATGGAAGGAATTTTCTCTAGTGAGGGAGGTTAGAGGTTGAAATTAGGCACAGATATAAAGGGGCTTTGATTGTTTCTATAATTTGTTATTTCTTTGAAAAATGATCAAAAGCAAATATGTCAAAATCTTAAGACATTAAATCTACGTGGTGAAAAAAAACAACTCTCATAGAAAACCAATAGCCCACTTGGTGAGAAATTGCTGACATTGGATCACTTCAACTCTGGAATGAGTATCAGTGTATCTTGCCTGGAATTGACAAGAATTCCTGGCTACAAAGCTTCAGTAAGCATTGCTATCAGGAAGCTTACAAGAAACCTGAATGCGATCCCATGTAACATTTCCTCTGACCAAGTGATATGCTTTAAAGTGAGGCTGGCAATGGACATATGATGATGGGATCCATTAGTTCTATCGACTATGATAGCTGCTGGCCCGGTACAGCAATGGAGCCATTCTTTGAAGGTGCAACTATGAAACCAGCTTGTTTATGATCTTGGGAAATGGGACAACATCCACGAGGATAAACTGGAGACCATTATAAGATGTTATGTCCCCAATAAGTAGAATACACAGGTTATGAGGACAAGGAGTAAAAGTAGGGGTGGCCCATTTAACATCAATATCAATGATTGATTTACTTAGGGAAATTTCTTTTTTAAAAAATTTTATTTATTTTTTTGACAGAGAGAGAGAGAGAGAGAGAGAGAGAGAGAGAGAGAACACAAGCAAGGGGAACAGCATGCAGAGGGAGAGGGAGTGGGCAGGCTCCCTGTTGAGTAAGGAGCCCAATGAGGGGCTCCATCTCAGGACCCTGGGATCATGACCTGAGCTGAAGGCATATGTTTAATCAACTGAGCCACCCAGGAGCCCCATACTTATGAAAATTTTTAATCCTTACAATTTTAGGTTCTGTGGGTCTATACCAGTGCTGTCCAATAGAAATATAACATGAATCACATATATAATTTTAAATTTTCTAGTAGTAACATTAAAAAGATAAAATAAAAGGTTGAAGTTAATTTTGATAAAATGTATTTTGTGTAATCTATTAGTATCAGATACATTTCAAGTATTCAATGGCCACATAATGCTAGTGGATCCTGTACTGTACTGGACAGTGCCAGTCTGGAGATCCTGGTTCCCAGAAGGGGAATGCTTCTACTAGGGACACAGTAGGCACAGTAAGCACTTTTAGCTCCTTAGGCCAAGAGGCTAGCAGGCAAGCAAAGGAGTTACTGTACTGGCAGAGTAATTGACTCTTATCATCCCCTGATAACATCAGTAACACAGCAGGAGCAGAGAATTAATTTGGCATTGGGAATACTCTTAGTATTCTACTGCCCAATTTTGATGATAAATTGTCAAACGCAATAACTATAGCCTGAAAAATCACGATGATCAGGAAGCTTAGGCTCCTTAGGGATGACAATGTATGTCATCCTCCCAGGTAAGTCCCCTAAGACCAGCAGAGACACTATCTAAGAATAAAGGGACTCTAGGATGGGTAGCAAAGAAGGGTGAAGAAGAGTATTCGGTGTGGTCTCCAGATAAGCTCTAGGAGTGTGAGTGAGCTCTTCTAGTATAAGTTCCCTAGGAAAAAGAAACCAACCAGAATTCTGGGGTAACTATTCCAATATGGAGTGAAGTTTCCATACAAAAAAAGTCAACAGGGTGCTGTGGTGCACGGCTGGTGCACAACTCAGATCCTCCTTTTAGGATCTAACCACCCATTCCCAGCTACCTGGAGTATTGGATACAGATAGCTCATAGTTGAGACCCCCTCTGGGCATTGCCTCAGCCAAAGGGTGTTGCCTGACCCAAGGTTGTATCCTCCCCTTGTTCAGCCAAATCCCTTTTGAGTCAATGTGAAAGTGAAAAGAAAAAAAAGGTCCTTTGTCTCAGTAAGGGACAACTCTGAAAGGCCATCCTAGCTTTTGAGCTTCTTCTATGGGATCTGCTGAGGTCTATTGTAACTGCCTTGCAGTTCAACATCTACCTCTGCCAATTCTGCTTTCCTCATTTCTTTAAAGGGCTTATACTAGGAACACACACCAACAAACCTCCTTCCACATATCTCCGACTCTAATGAACTCAGTAGAAGACACATCTGCATTATTTAAAACCCCAGAGTGATAACTAAGTGAGAAAGCAGGAATTAACAATTTTCATCACCACCCTCATTCATTTATAATTGCCTGTCAGTTTCAGGATGCCCTTCTATGGCTGTGTAGAAGAAAAAAGACATGGCAATTCTTCCCTGACCATCCCTCATTTCAAAAGAAGCACAGTTCCTCTCTTGGCTTATGCTTCTTGAGGTTGGAGAATCTCTTACCTGATTGTCTCCAATTTATCTTTGAGTTGTAAATACTTACCTGTTTTAGGTGCTTTTTCACAATATATTTTGTAGTCATCACTGATTCTCTGTATGGCCACCTTTGGATACTTATAGCAGAGTTCCTCAAAGGACATTTTCTCTATGTCTACCAAGTAGGGAAAAAAAGGAATAGAGCCTGATTGTCCACTCTGGCTCAAAGATTCATGCAATTTTATTGAGGATATTACCTTTAAAATATTATTATTATTTAATAAATTAATTTTTATTGGTGTTCAATTTGCCAACATACAGAATAACACCCAGTGCTCATCCCGTCAAGTGTCCCCCTCAGTGCCCGTCACCCATTCACCCCCACCCCCCGCCCTCCTCCCCTTCCACCACCCCTAGTTCGTTTCCCAGAGTTAGGAGTCTTTATGTTCTGTCTCCCTTTCTGGTATTTCCCACACATTTCTTCTCCCTTCCCTTATATTCCCTTTCACTGTTATTCATATTCCTCAAATGAATGAGAACATACACTGTATGTCCTTCTCCGATTGACTTACTTCACTCAGCACCTTTAAAATATTATTTAACTAAGATAAGAATGTTTTAATAAAATGTTCACACAAGGAATATAAGTTCCTCAGGCCAAATCAGAAGTAAGGGAATATAGCTTTCCCTCCTCTCCAGAATGTTAGAACACTGCCCTTCTTGGGGACCCCTGACCCATTGAGATTTTCTGCCTGAAGGATGCTGGGGTAACTGAGTTATGGTTTTGAAAGAAATACTAATATTTAACACATATACAAGAAGTAATTTATCCAAATGAATATTGACCCCTTCGAAGCAGCCATCTGTTATGGGAAGGAATTGCAAATGTATTCCAAACATTCTGCTATTGCTTCAAAGAATTTGATACACTTAGGGATTGTATATGGCAAATAACATGCTAGGAACGTTCTCTCTTGCTTGGCCCTATCTTTGGGAATTACTTTCAGAATTGACAGTTCATATATGTGAATATCATTAATAGTTGCAAATCATTGTCCTTTGAGAGAAAATTATTTTTTCTAGAAATAGCCATACATTATTTCTAGTTATACATAATGAATTGAGAGGGAATACTTTTTTGTATCCAAAATAAAATGAGGCAGCCTTCCTTCTAGTCATGTACTAGACAATAGATACAGATTAGCAGCACCTTACCTCCTACCAAGGTGAAAACACTCAATCATGTTGTGAGTTCTGGGGTTTAAAATAAGTCTAATTGCACACAGTTCTCCAGAAACTCTCCCAAGGCAGTCTAATGCTTTCTGAAGATTATATTGGTGGAGTCTAGAAGGAATGCTGGGGGAGGGACCCACAAAGATTAGTTGTCCTTATGTCAGCTTTGTCATTGTTATCATTCTCCTCTCTCAGCCAGGTGAATCTGGCTGTTAAGTTATAAGAGCAGTAGATCATTCCTACAATAGATCCAGATTTCTAGTCCTGGACCAATCCCTCCCTTATTAAGCAACCTTGGCCAAGTCTTTCCACTTCTCAGAGACTCATTTTCTCCGTATGAAATCTGAGAGAAGTATTCTAGCTCTGATGCTCTGTGAGATTATGGTGCATCCTGAGTGGAGGCATCAGTCCATCTGGGAGTCAGGGCCCTGGGTTGAGCAAATATACAGGAGGACCTTATCAGGTCAGACTTGCATTCCAAAAAGGCAGTGGTTGAGGGAATAATGATGTGTGTTGGGGGAGGGAAGAAGCAGCTTCATGGAAAGTAATTCCCACTCTTTCTGGTCATCCCTCGCACTCCAAGGCCACCAAACCATGCCTATTGCCAAGTATGTGTGTGGTGAAATTTATCAGCCATCCTTTCTTCCACTTTTCTCTTGAACAGGTTGTGGCATGAGAAGGTGAAACTCTGATAGGAAACAGAGGACTTGTTCATGCTAGATTTAAATAACTCATGCCCAAGCATGGCTCTTGAGAGGCAAGCATTTAAGGCACCCTGTTTTATATATGGAGTGCAAATAAAAGCTTTAAAAAATAGAATGTTACTTTTTTAGTGTAATCTACCAAATATGTATTGAGCACCTGCTTGCAGTGTAAATGCATTGCCTTCAATCCCCTCAGCAATTCTACCAAGTAGGGGCCATTATCCTCACTGTATACTTGAGGAAATGAGGCTCAAAGAGATGAGGTGACTCTCTGAGGCTCACAGAGCAAGGGAGTGGTGGAATTGAATTTTCAAAGCTTTGGCTTACTCCTCCTCTGTGTTTTTAAAAGTGCAGGTCACGACTCAATAATATGTCAAAAAACTGTCATTGTCAGCTTTTACAAAATAGAATAGAGAATATTAGGGGAAATCATCTTATATAATAAGGGTAATATTGCTTTGTGAAAATGTTGTTCCATATATATGCACACACATATATACAAGTACATGTTCCCTGAAGTCAAATGTTTTTATTGTGGGTTGAAGTTTAAGAAATGCTGCACATACACAAAAATAAACTCAAAATGGATGAAAGATCTAAATGTGAGACAAGATTCCATCAAAATCCTAGAGGAGAACACAGGCAACACCCTTTATGAACCTGGCCACAGTAATTTCTTGCAAGATTCATCCATGAAGGTAAGAGAAACAAAAGCAAAAATGAACTATTGGGACTTCATCAAGATAAGAAGCTTTTGCACAGCAAAGGATACAGTCAACAAAACTAAAAGACAACCTACAGAATGGGAGAAGATATTTGCAAATGACCTATCAGATAAAGGGCTACTTTCCAAGATCTATGAAGAACTTATTAAACTCAACACCAAAGAAACAAACAATCCAATCATGAAATGGGCAAAAGACATGAACAGAAATCTCACAGAGGAAGACATAGACATGGCCAACAAGCACATGAGAAAATGCTCCGCATCACTGGCCACCAGGGAAATACAAATCAAAACCACAATGAGATACCACCTCACACCAGTGAGAATGGTGAAAATTAACAGGACAGGAAACAACAAATGTTGGAGAGGATGTGGAGAAAGGGGAACCCTCTTACACTGTTGGTGGGAATGTGAACTGGTGCAGCCACTCTGGAAAACTGTGTGGAGGCTCCTCAAAGAGTTAAAAATAGATCTGCCCTACGACCCAGCAATTGCACTGCTGGGGATTTACCCCAAAGATACAGATGTAGTGAAACACTGAGACACCTGCACCCCGATCTTTCTAGCAGCCATGTCCACAATAGCCAAACTGTGGAAGGAGCCTCGGTGTCCATCGAAAGATGAATGGATAAAGAAGATGTGGTCTATGTATACAATGGAATATTCCTCAGCCATTAGAAATGACAAATACCCACCATTTGCTTCGACATGGATGGAACTGGAGGGTATTATGCTGAGTGAAATAAGTCAATCGGAGAAGGACAAACATTATATGGTTTCGATCATTTGGGGAATATAAAAGATAGTGAAAGGGAATAAAGGGGAAAGGAGAAAAAATAAGTGGGAAATATCAGAAAGGGAGACAGAACATGAGAGACTCCTAACTCTGGGAAACGAACTAGGGGGTGGTGGAAGGGGAGGTGGGTGGGGGGTGGGGGTGACTGGGTGACGGGCACTGAGGTGGGCACTTGACAGGATGAGCAATGGGTGTTATGCTATATGTTGGCAAATTGAACACCAATAAAAAATAAATTTATAAAAAAAAAGAAATGTTGCAGTACTCTGATTGCCTCAGTTTTTTTTGTTCAATTTGGATATTAATGGCTGACATTATGGACTTTTACTGTTGCCAAACATTGTGGTAACAGCTTTCATAGGTGACCTGGGGGCTTCTTCACAACAAATCTATTATTATTAGTCCCATTTTAAGGATGAGAAAACTAGGGCTTAACGAGAGGTTAAATACATTTAAATACTTAAATACTTAAGTTTCCAGTCAGCAGGAGAACTAGGATATAACCCAGAGCTCTGGGACAGCAGAGCCTTGTGCTCCCAACCACTCCTCTCTACTCCGTGAGTCAGCTACTGTGTTATGTTGGGCGAGGTCAGTAGCTATTAAAAATATATTCACAGAAATGCTTTGAACCTGACTCTGGAGGAAGTGTGGTAAGGGGGACCATGCTTATCAGATGTACAAAAGTGAATTATTCTTTAATTGAGGTGATGCTTTGGTGGACATGAGTCTGGCCAAACTTCAGTGCTCTGGCTCCCTTCAGAGCTAGAAGAGGCCAGTCAGTCAGTGAAATCCAGGCTCTGCCACTTACTGTGTGACCTTGGGAAGGTCAATTATCTTCTCTGTGCCTCAGTTACTCAGTACTTACCTCACAGGTTATTTTGAAGATCAAATGAGGTAATCTTTGCATTGCACAGTGCTGAGATGTAGTAAACATTCACTAAATGTTAAATATTAATATTTCCAAGTGGCCTATATATTAGGATCAAAAAATTATGGTGACTGCCCTTACCTGCTTGGAACACTGGAGAGTTCAGTTCTACCTGGAGAGACCCGCATTGTCTCAGGTCCTCAGTAGCTATCTTTTGCCATTGCATAGAATCCATTTTCTCCATGTTAGCCAAACCCTGGCTTAACTCCAGGGATTCCTCACACCTCTTATAAAGAAGAATGTTCTCTTCTTTATTTATAGATCCTTTTTTATGCCATCTGCTGCTGCTGAACGTGGTCTAAGAGAAGAGGATGAGGGCAGAGAGCACCTGCTATAGGAGCTAGACGAGAAGCAAGATTTTTTAACAGCCCAGTCCCCTGTGCTTCCTCGTCACATGTCATTTATGCTGCTGATTGCTTTCATTTTGTTAAGAACCATTGCTCCTTTACACACCACCCCTCCACCCTCTTCTAATTAAATCCATTTCTATAAGGAAGAAATTCTATTTGAATGTGACTTCTTCAAAATCAGCTATTGCACTTGAGTCTTTTTCCTTAAGGTTTATCTTTAGAACATCAGGGACCTTGTCAACACCTAGTGGCCTCTAGGAAAAATAAAAATTTCATTTACTTTGACAAATAAGGCTTCTAAGGGAGCAGTTACTCTTGTTCTCCCCACAACCTCATGATTTCTCCCCAACTCAAGGTCCCTCCTACTGTAAAAATGAGAAACCAGTAGTCCTCTTCATCCAGGAATTCATCATACCAGGAGCTGAGCATCTGAAATCCAAAGAGGACATAAGTGTTATAAGGTGCTGCTGTTTGCTGCATCTCTTGTGCCAGTGTTCACGTGGGAGAAAAGCAGGCTGCAGATTCTGGATTCTCTGATTCAACCACAAGACAATCTATGTGTCTCTGAATATGGCAGTTCGTGCAGTCTCCTTCTCAATCTCAGAGAATGGTAGTTGATATTATTTTTTTTGGGGGGGGTGGTTTTCACATTTTATTAGCTACAGCATAGACCCTTGAGCTGCCTCATTCCCTCCCCGCCCCCTCCATGGGGTCAGGCCTTCCCAGAAGCCCCTGCCTTGGCTGCCTGGGCCCTCTGGAACTTCTGCTGCAGCTGAGCCAGGGTCTCCCTCTGTTGCTCTGACTGCCGCTCAAGGTCCCGGAGCTGGGATTCGTATCGCTTAATTTCAGCTGTGATATAGTCCAGCCTCTTCCCCACTGTGGCGCGAGCCTCTCCCAGCTCCTGTTTGACCAGCACAGGGCCCAGAAGTTTAAAGACCACGTTGGATCCATCTAGCAGGGCCAGCTCCTCCTTCACGATATTATTTTGTTAGCTGCGCCTCAAGCTTCTGTCTCCCCGACATGGATTTACTCAAGTCCTTCTGTAGCTGCTGATATTTCTCCACTTCTCCCTGTAGCTTCTTCTGGATTAGCTCAGCCATGGCGGGGACGAAGGCCCGCTGGGAGTAGGAGCGGGCGCTGGGTCTCACTCTGGGAGGTACCTAAACTCCCCTTTCTGGCAATTTACTTAAAGACAATTACTTGGCATCTTTGTACTCCCTTGTTCTTTTCTAAATAAAGTACCATCTCATTTGATTCTCAAAATGGTCCTAAAAACCAAGAATATTCTTTCTTTCTTTCTTTCTTTCTTTCTTTCTTTCTTTCTTTCTTTCTTTCTTTCTTTTCTTCTTTCTTTCTTTCTTTCTTTTAAGGGTCTTCTTTTAAAGTGTATTCTCTTAGTATCTCACACTCCAAGACCTTACTCACTTCTGAAGAATATTTTTTTAATTTTATTTTTTTAATTGGAGTTCAATTTGCCAACATATAGCATAACACCCAGTGCTCATCCCATCAAGTGCCCCCCTCAGTGCCTGTCACCCAGTCACCCCCACCCCCACCCACCTCCTTTTCCACCACCCCTTGTTCATTTTCCAGAGTTAGGAGTCTCTCATGTTCTGTCTCCCTCTCTGATATTTCCCACTCATTTTCTCTCCTTTCCCCTTTATTCCCTTTCACTATTTTTTATATTCCCCAAATGAATGAGACCATATAATGTTTGTCCTTCTCCGATTGACTTATTTCACTCAGCATAATACCCTCCAGTTCCATCCACGTCGAAGCAAATAGTGGGTATTTGTCGTTTCTAATGGCTGAGTAATATTTCATTGTATACACAGACCACATCTTCTTTATCCATTCATCTTTCGATGGACACTGAGGCTCCTTCCACAGTTTGGCTATTGTGGACATGGCTGCTAGAAACATTGGGGTGCAGGTGTCCCGGCATTTCACTGCATCTGTATCTTTGGGGTAAATCCCCAGCAGTGCAATTGCTGGGTGGTAGGGCAGACCTATTTTTTAACTCTTTGAGGAACCTCCACACAGTTTTCCGGAGTGGCTACACCAGTTCACATTCCCACCAACAGTGCAAGAGGGTTCCCTTTTCTCCACATCCTCTCCAACATTTGTTTCCTGTCTTGTTAATTTTCCCCATTCTCACTGGTTTGAGGTGGTATCTCATTGTGGTTTTGATTTGTATTTCCCTGATGGCAAGTGATGCAGAGCATTTTCTCATGTGCATGTTGGCCATGTCTATGTCTTCCTCTGTGAGATTTCTGTTCATGTCTTTTGCCCATTTCATGATTGGATTGTTTCTTTGCTGTTGAGTTTAATAAGTTCTTCATAGATCTTGGAAACTAGCCCTTTATCTGATAGGTCATTTGCAAATATCTTCTCCCATTCTGTAGGTTGTCTTTGAGTTTTGTTGATGGTATCTTCTGCACAGGTCTTATCTTGATGAAGTCCCAATAATGCATTTTTGCTTTTGTTTCTCTTGCCTTCATGAATGTATCTTGCAAGAAATTACTGTGGCCAAGTTCAAATAGAATGTTGCCTGTGTTCTCCTCTAGGATTTTGATGGAATCTTGTCTCACACTTAGATCTTTCATCCATTTTGAGTTTATCTTTGTGTATGGTGTAAGAGAATGATCCAGTTTCATTCTTTTGCATGTGGATGTCCAATTTTCCCAGCACCATTTATTGAAGAGACTGTCTTTTTTTCCAGTGGATAATCTTTCCTGCTTTGTCGAATACTAGTTCACCATAAAGTTGAGGGTCCACTTCTGGATTCTCTATTCTGTTCCATTGATCTATGTGTCTGTTTTTGTGCCAGTACCACACGGTCTTGATGACCACAGCTTTGTAGTACAACCTGAAATCTGGCATTGTGATGCCCCCAACTATGGTTTTCTTTTTTAATATTCCCCTGGCTATTCAGGGTCTTTTCTGATTCCACACAAATTTTAAAATGATTTGTTCCAACTCCCTGAAGAAAGTCCATGGTATTTTGGTAGGGATTGCATTAAATGTGTAAATTGCCCTGGGTAGCATTGACATTTTCACAATATTAATTCTTCCAATCCATGAGCATGGAATATTTTTCCATCTCTTTGTGTCTTCCTCAATTTCTTTCAGAAGTGTTCTGTAGTTTTGAGGGTATAGATCCTTTACCTCTTTGGTTAGGTTTATTCCTAGGTATCTTATGCTTTTGGGTGCAATTGTAAATGGGATTGACTCCTTAATTTCTTTTTCTTCAGTCTCATTGTTAGCGTATAGAAATGCCACTGACTTCTGGGCATTGATTTTGTATCCTGCCACACTGCCAAATTGCTGTATGAGTTCTAGCAATCTTGGGGTGGAGGCATTTGGGTTTTCTATGTAGAGTGTCAGGTCATCGGCGAAGAGGGAGTTTGACTCCTTTGCCAATTTCAATGCCTTTTATCTCTTTTTGTTGTCTGATTGCTGAGGCTAGGACTTCTAGTACTATATTGAATAGTAGTGGTGAGAGTGGACATCCCTGCCTCGTTCCTGATCTTAGGGGAAAGGCTCCCAGTGTTTCCCCATTGAGAATGATATTTGCTGTGGGCTTTTCGTAGATGGCTTTTAAGATGCTGAGGAATGTTCCCTCTATCCCTACACTCTGAAGAGTTTTGATCAGGAACGGATGCTGTATTTTGTCACATGCTTTCTCTGCATCTATTGCGAGGATCATATGGTTCTTTCATCACATTAAAACAAACAGAAAGTAACAATAACAACAAAAAAACTAAGAGTTAGTGCTAGCTAGGTTTATTTTTTTGTAGTCTCACCTTCATTCATTCATTTATTTGACAAATAGTTTCTGAGGGCCTCCTATCTGCCAAGCACATGCAAATGGCTGAGAATACACAGATTAATATGCTATAAACCTTGTTCTCAAGGAGCTCACTTTCTAGCATGATGAGCAGCACAGGAAAGCACATGCTACCATACAAAGGTGAACAAAGTTCTCTGGGAGCAGAAACGTGGGATCATTTATTTTTGTTTTGAGTCCGGGAAATCCAGAAAGAATTCATAAAGGCAAGGAAATTTAAACCAGAATTTGCATTTTGTAGGATAAGTAGGAGCTTACTATATGGAAGTTGAGTAAAGGGCATTCCAGGCAGTAGGAAGAATTTAAGCAAAAGCACAGAGATGGGAAAGGACATGTTTGGAAATGATGAGTACTCCAGCATGGGTGAGCTGCAGCATTCTGCAAAGAGCTCAGGCGTGAGGTAGTGGCAAGGGTTGAGGCAGTGAAGGTTGGTTGGGATTTCACGAGGGACTTGAATGCTTGCTAAGTAGTCTAGGCATTATTTTGCAGGGAATGAGTCAACAACAATACTTTTTAAATAATGTAAGACTGGTTTTACAAACCACCTCAGTCATGCTGCCAGAAGTTGAGTCTAAGAGTACAAGTTTTAGAAACTTCATCAGAACTGGGGAACTGGAGTGAAGTATATTCCTAAGGAAATTCAGCTCAGTGATTGAATACTAACAATATATACTGTAATACAATATGATTGACCAATATATAATCTCTAAATACATATATAAAATATGAATAATAAATAAACATGTGTGAAAGGGGTATCCTACTAATGTTCCTTCTAGTTTAAAAGACTTATGACTCTAATAGCTAGTGAATAAGTGATCTAATTGGTATCTTAACAATGCTTAATAGAACATTTTCCATTAGAATAGTCAGATTTGTAGCAAAATACTACTAATAATAAATATAATAAAACAATATCTTAACCTATACTTTTTAAAATTTGACCTATTAACCTATAATTACTTTTTAAAATTTGACCTATTTGTAATATATATGTATTTTTTCTATAATTATTTTTCATTAGAATGTATCAGAGTTTACTTCAGAATTCAGTTTGTCCATAATTTGCTAAACTCTTCTGTACCATCCTGAAAGCAGTGTAAAAGAGGCCAGGCAGTAAATATTTTCCAGTGTTCATGGAACCCCTTACTCTCACCATTTTCAGTATCTTCTCTCAATCCTCCCCTCTTTGGTTAGAACCCAAGGAAATTTTTAAGCTGATGTTCTGTCTTCCGGGTTCATACCCACTTCTCTCTACCTATTTCCTTTTATAGTATTGTTAATGTATCTGTAAACTTATTAAATCCAACAAATATGATCAAATATGATTTTGTCCCAATTCTCATTTTATATATGAGGACTAAAAGACCTAGGGAAATTCAAGAATTTAGACTTTGGGTTTGTTCAAGACCACATAGCCAAACAATGACACATCCAGAATTTTTAAAACTTGTCCTCCTACTCCTTGTAGACTGTGTTTCTACATTGTTGAGCCAGAAGTCAGGAAATGAACATATCAGCGGGCATGCTATTGGCACTTTACAAAGGTTGACTGGATAATTGGAAGTTGGTTGAAGAGATGGATAAAAATCCAAGTTCTCATAGAATCTATTTGTCTCCAACAAGCAAAAAGAGTCTTGGGCAAGGCCAAAGAGGGGCCATTGCTAACTGGGTTGATTGGTTCAACCAACATCTATTGAGTATGAATGTCTATCTGTACTATCAAGCACTGAATACCATACCCCAAGGTAGTGTTCCAGATTTGGGGGAGACAGTACTGAAAAAACATGAAAATCCCCACCCTCATAAGGAGAAAGAAAATAAGCAAAATAAGTTAAACATATATACATAATATTATGCATCTGAAAAATAATATGAGCATATGTATACATAACAGATGTATATGGTATGCACATATGCATATATGTACATTGTAAGGATTACACATGTATTATACACACACTCACACAGAGTGTATGTATGTATGTAAGGATGGATGTTAGATCTGGATAATGATGATAAGTGCTAAGGAGAAAAATAAAATGGGGATGGGATGAAATTTTATATAGAGTGGGTAAGGAAGGCCTCACTGAGATAACTTGAGCAAACACAGCTGAAGGAGTGGGGGCACAGCTGCATGAGCATCTGCACATTACACACAGTGGGAGCACTGCTACTGAGCTGGCAATATACCTGGCATGGCTGGAGTGATGCGTCCAGGAGAGATATGTAGGCCTTGTCAGTTTGGGCAAGGACCTTGGATTTTACTGAAGACAGAAAGCCATCTGTTTTCAACGTCCCCAATTACTTCCTTTTACTTATTTTCAGTTAAATTACACAACTTATGCTTTTGCAAGATCACCCTGCCAGTGTGGAAATGAGCCTTCTTGTCATCTGCAAGGACAAATCCATAGGCATCAGTTAGGAGGCCACTGTAGTAACCCAGATAACACTGGATGGGGCTTGGACAAGAGTGGTTGTAACAGGGAAGGGGAAGAATGCCAGATTCTGGATATATTTTTAAGGTTGAACCAACTGGATTCAACAGGATTCACAGGACTAGACATGGGTATGAGACAAAAGGGCAAGCCATGGATGATATCAAGATTTTTAACCTGAGAAACTGTGATAGCTAGTCTTACCTAATACAAATACCATCAATATCTTTGCTGAAGACCAAGGTCCAGGCAGGGGGCTTTTCTGTGTGTATCTGCTAATCCAGGAAGCACAGCCCCAGGATAAGCCTCTAATTCCAAATACTTACACAAAGAAAAGTGGGGCCTCTGGCCTTTCACTAAAGAACTATGCAAAGAAGAGCTTTGGCTGTGTACCCACCGGATTGATTTGGTCATACACTACTCAATGTGCAGCTATGGATAACTAAGATGTACTGGAAATTGTGCTAGACTTAGAACCAAGACCTCCTGGTTTCTCCACTAACCTGCTGTGTGCTTTTGGGCTAACCCACTTAACCCTCTAGGAGTCTCATTTACCTCAATTGTACAACAGAGGCAACAGAACTACTCTGCCTCTCAGAGGTTCTAAGAAGCCTAAAAGAGGTAATGGGTGGGAACATGCTTTATAAGGCAAACACATTTTATTTAATGCACTAAAGAAGTTGTTTATATACACCTGCTCTTCCAGATCTACTCTCTATCCTTCTTCACCCTGCTTGTGCCTTGGAAAATTAACCTGTATAGACCTCCTTGACCTCAGGTTGGACTGATCTAATTAAAAGACCTAGTAGGAGATGAGAAAGCAGGAGGAGAGTGAGCTTGGGATTAGCTATTCCCCTTGACCCTTTTTGGCCATATCACTGAGGAATGGCTATACACTTCTTCTGACAATTAGAGTTCCTGCCAAGTGTCCCATACCATATAGCTCTTTCTCTCCTGGTTCTGAAAACTGCTTCCTCTTCTCAATTCTTCAGACCTTGGAGGGAAAAAAGTGACCCAGCCTTACTGGCCTGAGGTATTATCTTATCTCCTGTGGTTTTCCCTACCCTCCTGCCCTTTCCTTTGTAAGCAGTTCCTTGTGTTGGCTTTAATCTATTACTCAATTCGATTCTTCCATTTGTTTTCTGCCAAGATCTTGACCATACAATAGTCAGGCTATGGCCCTTATCTCCTGTGAGTCTTCAGGATAGTTGAATGCTTTTATCTAATGTTTTGGGATAAGAACAAACTCCTACCAACTGGCCCATTTCCTTGATGGCTAGTCTAGGAAAGGGAGACCCTGCATTTCAATATATAATGTTTAGAACAGAATTCTTAGAACTTTCTTCAGTAGAACTCTGAGGTTTCATAGATTTGGGAGATTCCACACAAGGGGAAATTAAGGAAGAAATAAAAAGTGGATGTTGACCACTATGCCACTTCTATTCTATTTTGGATTTTTAGCTGTTTCTTGGGAATTCGCATAGTTTTTTCCTAAGAGATCAACCAACTCTTTGATATATTATATCATTAACTTAACCAGTCTAGATGACCAAATAGGGTTTTTGGTCAGTCTTGACCTAATCTTCCAGATACTAATCCATTTCTGTGGGGCTTAGCCTACCTTGCAGATCTCTCTCTGGGCTCTGGGTATCCAGGGGTTTACTTCCCCAGAAGGCAGCATCTCCTTCAGGCCTTCAATGGTTTGTGATTTGAGTGGTAGGCATGGACCAATCTGTTCATTCAGATAGAGCTCACAAATTCGGTTGCCCAGCATGTGCCGAAAGGTGGCATTCCCAGTCTTCCTGGTACTCATCAGGACACTGAGGAAATGGTGCAGCTCCTGCCAGAGGTCCAGGAGTTGGATCTCCACTTTCAAATCCTGCTTTTTCAGGTGGTCCCGGAAGGGACTCCCTGCATAGGCATCAGCACTCAAGGCCCAGTGGGTGTACCCTAAGGAAATGCTTTGCTTAATGGACTTCTTGATAGTCATCTGGGGGGAGTGATTGATGATGGGGGTGACAGTCCTCAGATGTGTAGAGAATGCTGTCTCAAAGAGGCCCTCCATGTGGAGGTGGCTTTTGGATTTCTTCTTCATGCTGGACTTCCTGGCACAGAGAATATCCTTTTCCAGGGAACTGATTATTCGCTCTTTTGAAGAAGTCACTTTTGGGGAAGGCATTTGTAGGTATTTGTATACGTCCTCCTTAGAACACATCTCCTGGGGTGGAATAATGTTGGCATCTGGCTTAGTATCCATTTCCAGAGTAGAGCCATGGTCTATCAATCGCCACATCCTCCTCTTGGTCTTCCTGCTCGAGTACTGTTTCTGGGGGTGATGGCACTTCTTGATGCTCATGTTTAGAGGGAGTCCTCCTACATGAGTACAGCAAACAGTGCACAGGCGAGTCTCATATTCCTGCATCAAACCTTGGCATGATTCCTCCTTGGCCATAATCGTCCTGGCATGGATGTAAAAGTTGGGGAGCCAATAGCTCTGAAGTTTGAACAGAGACACTTTCTGCATGTGGCTCAGGATCTCCCTCCTGGTGGTTGACTGGTTGGGATGCCAGATGGAGAGGTTCAGGAGGGACTCTGGAAAGAATAGAGAGACATGAAGGATGAAAATAATGTTGGGTGTGTTTTTTTGAATTTTTCCAAATGTCATTGTGTATAGCATTTTATTTGTTCTTCATGCAATCCTGGGGTGTGGACAGTATGAATATATAGTAAAAACATTTTTAGGGTTTTCTCAGGGAATAGTGACCCCTTTCTTTGATTACCTTCCTTCTTCCCCATAGAAATAAGCCAGTTTATGGGATTCCTTGAATTATTTCTTAGAAAATTAGATGTTATTGTAAAGAAGAGCAAAAGGCACAAAAATATATATTTAAGAAGAGACATGTATCTCAGAATGAGATTTCTTAGAGTCACATCTGCCTGCATGAAAGGATTTAGACCAGATAATTTGAAAAAGTCATTACTAGCCCTGATTTTAATGTCATAAATTCTCAATTATCACTATAAATAGAGGAGTGTGACCAATCCCAAACAGCAAATCTTCTGGAACACAATTATATTTGGGTTAGGAATGTCTCCTTAATAAATAAATAAATTTAGGTGAATCTGATGTTCTGAGGAGAGGCTGGCAAACCTGTAAAAGGCCAGATAGTGAATATATTAGTATTTGAGAACTGTACGCAGGTGCTGCTGCATAGCCTTCTTCCTTAACCCTTTAAAAATATAAAAACATTTTTAGCTCATAGGCTACGTGCATTATTTGGCTGATAGGCTGTAGTTTGTTCTAGGGAATCTCAATTTTGAAAAGACAAACAATACAGTCTCAGAAGATGTAGGAGCTGTTTAATTACCCTGTCCTAATTCCTCCTCCTCCTTCCAGCCAATCTTCACTGGAGAGTAATATCTCAGGAAGAAGCCCACACCAGCTTAAGGATAACTTGCCTCTTGCAAACCCTCCTTGTTAAGGGTTCCCAATGGCATCCCTGGATACATAGAAAATGGAGAAGGTAGCAGTCTACAAAATGAGAGACTGAGAGTTATTAGACACTGATTTGATTTCTTTGTTATATCCCTCCATGATTTCACTTCAGATATGCTTTATAATTCTTACTGATGTTCATGTTGCAGAGAGTTACTACTTTTGAGCCTTCCTGCAGATGGGTAGCCTTCAGTACAAGGAGAAGGGACAGATAGTGGTCTCTCATTTCCAGGTCCATCTCATCAATGCTCAAAATCCTCTCAGCAAGGATCCAGAAATCCACCAGCTCTTCACCTACAGATTAGAAAGGGTAAGCACAGAGCTGCAGTCCAATCCTGCCCCTTCAGTGGTTGCATCTGCGTGTAGCAGCTGACACCATACCCTGCCACCAGCCTGCTCTATTTCCTCCAACATCATCATTAGTCACTTCTTTGGGTTAAGTCATCATCTCTAGTAATGTTATAATGTAGAGTCAGATGGAAGCATGGGGAAAAGGGAAAAGGGACTTAATGGGTAAGGATCTTTTGTGACTTTTGTTGCTGTTGTGAGAAAAACTGTCACCTTAGGGAAAACTGCAAGACTCTGAGAATGGATCATGAGACATTTGAGTTTTATCCAAAAAGAACATTTGCTCTATCATGGACCAAGAGCTGCTAGAAGAATAATTGAGCCTAAAGGTGCCAAGGACTACATTCTCTGTTTCAAAATTTTGCCAAGCTGAAGTCTGAATGACATAAAAGATAGTCTGTCTAGTTCTTGCCTACCTGCTTCCTGGAAATCCAGGATTTCACCCTTAAAATAGGGCTTGCCCTTAAATAAAACTTAATGCTGCTAAACTGGAGTGTCAGCCAGTGCTGGCTGCTGACCTTCCAGCACTCAAAAACCACTGGATCTACCAGAACAGAAAACAGTGGATCCCAACATTTGTGCTATCAGGATTTGTTTATTTACTTGTTCCTTGTCTGTCTCCCCACATTGTGGCAGCTTTATTTTTTTTTAATATTTTATTTATTTATTCATGAGAGACACAGAGACAGGCAGAGACATAGGCAGAGGGAGAAACAGACTCCCTGCGGGAGCTTGATGCAGGACTTGATCCTAGGATTCTGGGATCAGGTTCTGAGCCAAAGGTAGATGCTCAACCACTGAGCCAACCAGGTGTGCCTGTAATAGCTTTATTAAGTGGGGATTTATGGCTCTTGTTCATAGTGGCTGCCATACAGTAGTGTTCAACAAACACTGTTAAATTAATGGATGGATAGATGGATGGATGGATAAAAAAAGAAAGGGACTCTGATTACTTTTGCCCTAACCTATACTGTGGGCCTATTTTCAAAGACCTTAACCCAAACAAGAATATAAAACATTTTATTTCCCATGCACATTCATTACAATCAATAAGTGCTCTGGGGCATCCTGGAAGCTGCTAACAACTTTCAAAGTTTCCAGAAACAACTCCAAGAACCTACCTGTACTGCTGTTGAGGTAGGTACAGAAGCGCCACATCCCCCTGACTCCACCAATGCACTTCTGGAGTAGCCACTGGTCTGCTTTTCTCCATCTCATCATCTTGGCTGCCATGAAAAGTCCATGATGAGAGAGAAGAGAGAGAGAGAGAGAATGAGCTCTTCCCCCAGTACCTCTCTCAGCCTTGCAGACAGCTAGACCTCCATTCAGTCAGAGTGAGGAAAAATGGTGGCCAGTTCAATGAGTTGGGTTATCTACTTTTAAAGGTAGGAAACAGACCCAGTAGTGACATGCATAAAATGAGGGACCCACAAACATAGTACAATCCACAAATTAAAAACACCATCCAAAGCAAATGGTGGGTATTTGTCATTTCTAACGGCTGAGTAATAACTGGATGGTATTATGCTGAGTGAAATAAGTCAATTGGAGATGGACAATCATTATATGGTCTCATTCATTTGGGGAATACAAAAAATAGTGAAAGGGAATAAAGGGGAAAGGAGAAAAAATGAGTGGGAAATATCATAAAGGGAGACAGAACATGAAAGACTGCTAACTCTGGGAAATGAACTAGGGGTGGTGGAAGGGGAGGTGGGCAGGGAGTGGGGGTGGCTGGGTGGTGGGCACTGAGGTGGGCACTTGACTGGATGAGCACTGGGTGTCATTCTATATGTTGACAAATTGAACACCAATAAAAAATAAATTTATTAAAAAAAGAAAAAAATAAAGATGAATGAATAAAAAAGATGTGGTCTATGTATACAATGGAATATTACTCAACCATTAGAAACGACAAATATCCACCATTTGCTTCGATGTAGATGGAACTGGAAGGTATTATGCTGAGTAAAATAAGTCAATCAGAGAAGGACAAACATATGGTCTCATTCATTTGGAGAATATAAAAAATAGTGAAAGGGAATAAAGGGGAAAGGAGAAAAAATGAGTGGGAAATATCAGAGAGGGAGACAGAACATGAGAACATTGTAAGAAGTACAAAATGAAAAAATAAGAGAGGGTAAAGGGGGTTGGGACATTAGGGTCATCAGGGTAACCTCCACCTTGGAGGTGAGATTTGCACAGAGATCTGAAGAGGTGAGAGAGGGAGCCAATGTGTATATATACAGAAAGAGCATTCCAGACAGTGAATAGTCAATGCAAAGCCCTGAAGTGAGAATGTGTACAGCATATTTGAGGAACTGCAAGCAGACCAAATATAACTGAAATGGAGTAAGTAAGCAGGGTGGGGGTCGGGGGAGTAGGAGCAGATGAAGTCCTGAAAGTAATGGAATCACACATATAGGACCCTGAAGGCCATTGCAGGGGCACTAGATTTCATACTGAGACAGAAGCCATTGGTAGGGGTAGGGAGTAGCAAGCAGAGGAGTGACATGATCTGAATTAAGTTTTAAAAGGCTCTCTGGCTGCTGTGAGCAGAAAAAGAGCAGAAGGAGGGAGACTAATTAAGAGATGATTTCAGTAGGCAGGTGAGAAATGATGGTGACTTAGACCAAGTGGTAGCAATGAAGGTAGTGAGCTATGTTTGATTCCAGATATATTTTAGGCAATTTCACCATGTTCTGTGTCCACCAGTAATTCTCTCATTTTTGGCTGCAGTGAGACAAATAACACATACAACCTATCTAATTCTTGCTTATTCCTTTAGGTACCAATTTTTCAGTCTAAGATTTCACCTACTGCTGCATTACAAGCTGAGCCACCCTCACATCTAAGGGTACATGGGTAGTCAGTATCTTATAGAATACGCACAGGATCATTATGCAACCTGGTTTCCCATATTTCTCCACTCATGCTTACCTCCTTCTGGGGACTTAATGAAACTGATGAGCTCCTGACAGAGAATGTAATGGAGACACAAGTTGGTTTTACAGAAGAAGGGTAACCGGTATTTTTCCAACCAGGTCAATAATCCTTTGTACTTTGGAATCTAGAGTCCAAACAAAATGAGAACAGAAAAGAGAAATGGAACTGAACTACTAAGTAATGAAGCTTAGCAAGGGGCAATAAATAACTTCATACCTGCAGTATCTGGCCCACAGGATACGCATTTGATTAAAAGTAGTATCAAAGGAGAGCAAAGACTTGAGCTGAGGCTCGTAAACGAGTGAATGAATTGGTAGGAACAAAAGCCCTGGTCTTTTATCAAAAAATTTCCTTATCCCTGAGGGAAGTTGTTAAAGATCTAAGTCTTGCCAGGTAGAAGAGAAGCAGAAGAGATTTCGATCTATGATGTCAAGTCATAACTCTATTCAACTTGCTTCTTTGCAAGCACACTTACAATTTCTCACAAGTTTCTAACCCATATCAAATACACAACATGTACAAAAACAAAGACTTATACTTAATACTATTTAGAGTACAGGTTGGATCCTTGAGGGATTGAGCCACCAGAGAAGGGAGAAGGATATAACTTTTCTTTTTACCTGTATCTCTCACTCCTCTTCCTCCATTTTTTTCATCCTCCCATCCACTTCCTATCTGGCAACCAGCAGTTTGTTCTCTGTATTTATGGATCTGATCTGTTTCTGCTTTTATTTGTTCATTTGTTTTGTTTTTTAGATTCCACATATAAGTGAAATCATACAGTATTTGCTTTTAAAGATTTATTTCACTTAGCATAATATCCTCTAGTCCCATCCATGTTGTCACAAATTGCAAGATCTCATTCTTTTTTATGGCTGAGTAATGTTCCATTGTATATTTATAGTACATCTTTATCCATTCATCTATTGATGGACACTTAGGGTGCTTCCATATTTTGTGGTATTGTAAATAATGCATAAACATAGGTGTGCGTATCTTTTCAAATTAGTATTTTCATTTTCTTTGGGTAAATACCCAGTAGTGGAATCACTGGATTTTATGGCAGTTCTAGTTTTGATTTTTTGAGGAATCTCCATACTGTTTTCCACAGTGGTTGTACCAATTTACATCCTCACCAACATTTGTTATTTCTTGTCATTCTGACAGGTAGGAGGTGGTATCTTATTGTAGTTTTGATTTACATTTTCTTGATGATTCATGTTACTTAACATCTTTTCATATGTATATTGGCCATCTGTACATCTTTTTAAAAAGATTTATTTATTTTAATGAGAGGGGGAGGGGCTCTAGTAGGGGGAGGAGCAGAGGGAGAGTGAGAGGCAGACAATCTCAAGCCGACTCCATGCTGAGAACAGAGCCCTACATAGGGCTCAATCTCATGATCCTGAGACCCTCACCTCAGCTGAAATCATGTGTCCAACCCTTAACTGAGCCACCCAGGCACCCTCATCTGTACATCTTTGTTGGAAATAATGTCTATTTGGGTCTTCTATTTTTTTAATTGTTATTTATTTATTTATTTATTTATTTATTTATTTTATTTATGATAGTCAGAGAGAGAGAGAGAGGGAGAGAGAGAGGCAGAGACACAGGCAGAAGGAGAAGCAGGCTCCATGCAGGGAGCCCGACGTGGGATTCGATCCCGGGTCTCCAGGATCGCGCCCTGGGTCAAAGGCAGGCGCCAAACCGCTGCGCCACCCAGGGATCCATCCCCTATTTGGGTCTTCTGCTCATTTTTAATTGGACTGGTTTTGGTGTTGAGTTGTATAGTTCTTTATATCTTTTGGATATTAACCCTTTATTATATATACATCACTTGCAAATATCTTCTTCTTTCACTAGCTTTTGCTATGCAAAAGGTATTTATTTTGGCATAGTCTCAATGGTTTATTTTTGCTTTTGTTTCCTTTGCCTGAGGAGACATACCCACAAATATGTTGTTAAGGCTGATATCAAAGAGATTACTGCCTATGCTTTCTTTTAGGATTTTTATGGTTTCAGGTCTCACATTTAGGTCTTTGATCCATTTTGAGTTGATTTTTGTGTATAGTATTAGAAAGTACTTTCATTCATTTGCATGTAGCTCTCCAGTTTTTTCAACATTATTTATTGAAGAGATTATCTTTTCCCTATTGTATTTTCTTCTCCCTTTTGTTATAGATTAATTGACCATACAAGTGTGGGTTTATTTCTGGGCTTTATATACTATGGATAGACCTATAGATAGATTTAGCCATAGATCTACCCACATTGATATATGTGCCCATGTTTGTGTCAGTGCCATACTGTTTTGATTGCTATCGCTTTGTAGTATATTTTATTTTATTTTTAAATTTTAAATTTATTTATTTATTTATTTATTTATTTATTTATTTATTTATTTGACAGAGAGAGAAGAGCACAAGTAGGCAGAGTGGTAGGCAGAGGGAGAGGGAGAAGAAGGCTCCTCACTGAGCAGAGAGCCCAAGGTAGGGCTCCATTCCAGGACCCTGGGATCATGATCTGAGCCAAAGGCAGACATTTAACTGATGGAGCCACTCAGGTGCCCCAAATTTGTAGTATATCCTAAAATCTAGGATTCTGATACCTTCAGCTTTGTTCTTCTTTGCAAGATTGCTTTGGCTTTCTGGAGTCTTTTGTGGTTCTATATAAATTTTAGGATTATTTGTTCTAGTTCTGTAAAAATACTATTGGTGTTTTGATAGGAATTGCATTGCATCTGTAGATTGCTTTGGGTATTATGGACCTTTAAACAATATTAATTCTTCCAATCCATGAGGGTATGTCTTTCCATTTGTTTGTGCCATCTACAATTTCTTTCATCAGTGTTTTATAGTTTTCAGAGTATAGATCTTTCACCTTCTCGATTAAGTTTATTCCTAGGTATCTTATCCTTTTTGATACAATTGTAAATGCAATTGCTTTCTTAATTTCTCTTTCTATTTCATTATTAGTGTATAGAAACACAACAGATTTCTGTTTATTAATTTTGTATCCTGAAACTTTACAGAATCCATTTATTTCTTCTAACATTTTTTTTGATGGATTGGTTAAGGCTTTATATATATCATGTCATCTTCAAATAGTGACAATTTTACTTCTTCCTTACCAATTTGGATGCTTTTTATTTTTTTATCTGATTGCTGTGGTTAGGACTTACAGTACTAAGTTAAATAAAAGTGGTTAAGAGTGGACATTCTTGTCTTATTCTTGATCTTAGGGGAAAAACTTTCAATTTTTCACCATCAAGTATGATGTTAGCCATGGGTTTGTCACATATAGCCTTTATTATGTTGAGGTGTGTTCCTTTTAAACCAACTTTGTTGAGAGTTTTTAACATGAATGGATGTTGAATTTTGTCAAATGCCTTTTCTGCATCTATTAAGATCATCATATGATTTTTATCTGTCATTTTGTTAATATGATGTTATCATGTTGATTATTTGCAAACACTGAACCATCCTTGCATCCACAAAATAAATCTCACTTTATTACAGTAGATGATCCTTTTAATGTATTGCTGATTCCCGTTTGCTAATATTTTGTTAGAGATTTTTGCCATCTATGTTCATCAGAGATATTCGCCTGTAGTTCTCCCTTTTGGTAGGCTTTGTCTAGTTTTGGTATCAGAGTAATGCTGACTTTGTAGGAGGTATTTGGAAACTTTCCTTCCTTTTCTATTCTTTAGGATACTTTGAGGAGAATAGGTATTAACTCTTCTTTAAACATTTGATAGCATTCACCTGTGAGTCCATCTGGTTCTGAACTTTTGTTAGAAATTTTATGATCACCAATTCAATTTCATTACTAATGATTGTTCTGTTCAGATTTTCTATTTCTTTTTGATTTGGCTTTAGAAATTATATGTTTCTATGAATTTATCCATTTCTTCTGGGCTGTCCAATTTTTTGGCATATAATTTTTCATAGTAGTCTCTTATAATTCTTTGTATTTCTGTGGTGGTGGTGGTGGTGGTGATTTCTTCTCTCTCAATAAAATAAAGATTTTAAGTTTCAGGACTTTCCTAGAGAAATCAAATATAAGAAGCAGAGGGGAGTATCTTTCTCAGCTCTCCAGGTCTCAGAGAAAAACAAAATCTTGTTGTAAGTATGGGTTAGAGTGGTCTTTGTGATCCCACATGCCACTTATAGAGCATGCAGAAGTCGTTGTAAGTCTAAGGTCTACATAGTGGAAAAAGGGAACCCAAAGGAGGAAAGGAAAGGAGAAAGACAATAGACAAGGAAAACATATAAAGAGATAAAAAGATTAGGAAAAGACATGTTTCTGAAGTAGAACTGTAGGGTAGTCATTAGGAATTGCAGATTGGCACCTTACCTTAAGCTATAACTTATAGTGCAAATAATCACTAGGTGGCTCAGGGGCTGCCACTTCTATCCTGCACCCATGGAAAGCATTGCCAATCAACTCTCAGACTCCTTCTTGCTGAGATGTGGCCCCAGAGTTCTCCAAATGGTGTCCCAAGCATTTCCCACCCAATGACCACAGTGGACATGAAAGGTGAATATCACTTGCTGACCATAGACTAGATATAGAGGAGAGAACTCACCAGCAATTGTCTGCCCATGTGGTAAAACACAAAAAGGAGAAATGTCTACTTGGCTTGATGCTGTTTGCAAGGTCCTACTCACCTGCTTTATAGTTTCTTTCAGAGTCACCTTCTGGGCCTCCTCTTCCTTTTATCTCTCCATCTCTCAATCCACACTTCAAATTTAGCTTCCTCTCTCCCCATCCCAAACCCTCTGCCATTCAAGAATCTTACCAAGTCATAAGGTATTTCTGGCCACAAGCTCCACTGTGAATTTTCAACAGTGTAAAATGGTGTCTGACCAAAGACCTGCAAAAAAAAGCTAAGAAATAGCCAAAGAGGTAGAGTTTCTCTTCACAAATATGTCACAGTCCAACTGTAGCCACAGGGGAAGAAGGTTCCATTGATTTCCTATTTCAAGAGATATTAATTCTTAAATTCATTCCACTAAATCAACTTGCCTTACAGAAAAACACCCAGAATAGACTAAACTGTAAGATTCATCAATCTTTTCAGTCTGCCCTGCCCCAACCTGGGAGTTATTTTGTCTACATACAAAGGCCAAAGTCTATGATATTAAAAGGCATTTACTTTTGCATTACATTATTTATTTCTTTTTTAAAAGATTTATTTATTTATTTGAAGAGAGAGAAAAAATATGAGCAGGAAGGAGCAGAAGGAGAGGGAGAGACGGAATCCTCAAGCAGACTCCCCACTGAGTGCAGACCTGGCCAGGCTGGATCCCAAGATCCTGAGGTCATGACCTGAGCCAAGAATCAGACACTCAACCCCCTGAACCACCCAGGCACCCCATATTATTTATTTCTACATGGATTTAGAAAGAGCAAAGACTTGAAGCCTTTTTAGAAGGACAAACAGCTTTGGATTTGCCTAAACTCTTGAACTGGGAAAAGTAGAGGGGCCTAAGGATATGAGGATTAGGGGTAAAAATTACTTAGTGGGGGCATAAAGAGTGTTCAAAATTAATAGATAATTCTATGTAACTGTCTTGGAGAAGGGACTGCAACCTAGGCAACCAGCTTTGAAACTGATGGGCAAGGGCTTCTATGTTTACAGGTATCTAAGCTTATCAGTCTCACCAAAGGCACCAACATGTCTCAAAATATCCCTACATCATTTGGGGATAAACTAGAGGGGCTGAAGCCCCAACTCCTCCCTGAACTCTTAGCACAGTATGTCAGCCTGACCATCTCCCCAAGACTATCAGCCCCAAATTTTGTTAGTTTTAGGCCCTCTCCTTCTCTCTCCTTTGTCTTTGGCTATGAGATAGAAGAGGAAAGCAATGTCACTGGTTGTAACTTACAAATATCAGCCTGTGAAGAAGGCTCAGTTCTTTTTTTTAATAAATTAATTTTTATTGGTGTTCAATTTACCAACATACAGAATAACACCCAGTGCTCATCCCGTCAAGTGTCCCCCTCAGTGCCCGTCACCCATTCACCCCCACCCCCCGGCCTCCTCCCCCTCCACCACCCCTAGTTCATTTCCCAGAGTTAGGAGTCTTTATGTTCTGTCTCCCTTTCTGATATTTCCCACACATTTCTTCTCCCTTCCCTTATATTCCCTTTCACTATTATTCATATTCCCCAAATGAATGAGAACATACACTGTTTGTCCTTCTCCGATTGACTTAATTCACTCAGCATAATATCCTCCAGTTCCATCCACGTCGAAGCAAATGGTGGGTATTTGTCGTTTCTAATGGCTGAGTAATATTCCATTGTATACATAAACCACATCTTTATCCATTCATCTTTCTATGGACACCAAGGCTCCTTCCACAGTTTGGCTACTGTGGACATTGCTGCTAGAAACATCGGGGTGCAGGTGTCCTGGCGTTTCATTGCATCTGAATCTTTGGGGTAAATCCCTAACAGTGCGTTGGCCATGTCTATGTTTTCCTCTGTGAGATTTCTCTTCATGTCTTTTGCCCATTTCATGATTGGATTGTTTGCAGCCACTCTGGAAAACTGTGCGGAGGTTCCTCAAAGAATTAAAAATAGACCTGCCCTACAACCCAGCAATTGCACTGTTAGGGATTTACCCCAAAGGTTCAGATGCAATGAAACGCTGGGGCACCTGCACCCCGATGTTTCTAGCAGCCATGTCCACAATAGCCAAACTGTGGAAGGAGCCTCGGTGCCCATGGAAAGATGAATGGATAAAGAAGATGTGGTGTATGTATACAATGGAATATTACTCAGCCATTAGAAACGACAAATACCCACCATTTGCTTCAACGTGGATGGAACTGGAGGGTATTATGCTGAGTGAAGTAAGTCAATCGGAGGACAAACAGTGTATGTTCTCATTCATTTGGGGAATATGAATAATAGTGAAAGGGAATATAAGGGAAGGGAGAAGAAATGTGTGAGAAATATCAGAAAGGGAGACAGAACATAAAGACTTCTAACTCTGGGAAATGAACTAGGGGTGGTGGAGGGGGAGGAGGGTGGGGGTGAATGGGTGACGGGCACTGAGGGGGACACTTGACGGGATGAGCACTGGGTGTTATTCTGTATGTTGGTAAATTGAACACCAATAAAAATTAATTTAAAAAAAAAAAAATCCCTAACAGTGCAATTGCTGGGTCGTAGGGCAGGTCTATTTTTAACTCTTTGAGGAACCTCCACACAGTTTTCCAGAGTGGCTGCACCAGTTCACATTCCCACCAACAGTGTAAGAGTGTTCCCTTTTCTCCGCATCCTTTCCAACATTTGTGGTTTCCTGGAAGGCTCAGTTCTTAATAACCCCTATCTGCTCTGCACTTGGGGTATGACATAATATGTTTTGCCTGGCATGTGAAGTTGCCTTTATGAGATGTGTGGTAGGACTATGGAATCATGAGGTTATTTGGGAGTAGTACATGGAAGCAGTTCCACCACATGACATTTCCACCTCAGAGGGCATGGGGCTGATGTGGAAAACATGCGAGGTATAGAGCCTCAAAACCTGGTCAGGTTCCAGAACTTCTCAAGACTTGCCATGTATTCTTAGGTGAGCTATTTAACTTCTGAGATCCATCTTTAAGAAGGGAGTGGTGTCCATCTCATAGGGTGATTATAGAAATTAAATAGTTAAAATTTGTAAATTGACAGTGGTATTCAACATGAATTAATACTGTCTCTCTAAATAGACTATAGCTACCTAAATGGCCAAGACTTTCTTATATTCTTGTCTGGGATTTTACCTCCCACATCATTCTCACCATTTCTAGAACATTATTGTAGACTGCATAAGTTGTGTTGATGAATTAACCAACTAACATGCCTCAAGATTATTTCTGCAACCTTTTGTTAAGACAGTGGCACCACCTTTCACTCAAGCATCTGACTCCTCCCTTCTTGTTACTACCTCTCCCTGATGTTCAAACAGTGACAAGTTCCAATATTTTCCTTTGTAAAAAATCTCTTATTTTTTCCATTCTCTTCATTCTCTTGCCTTTAGACCCCTATCACTGAATAATCTCCTAACTAGTTTCCCTGCCTCCATCATAGTCCCTCTTATAACTGAACCTATGGTCAGACTTCTGCAGAAATAATTTTCACAAATTAAAGTCTGATCATGTGACTTCTTACTTGAAAACCTTCGATGACTCTCTAGCACCTTCAGGATAATATCCAAACTCCTAAGCATGGCCTGCCTGTTCACAGAGCTTGTTTATGCAGCTTTGTCTCTTGCTATGTCTGCCTCTCACAACTTTTTCTTCAGCTTGCCTTGAAGTTGCTTAGAGTTTCTCCCCAAGTACCATAGGATTGTTTTCCTTGGTGCCTTTAGTTACTCCATTCTGTTTGTAAGGTTTCTGCTTTGTAGTACTCAATCCACCACCCCCACTCAATCCACTCTCCCCCCAACACCTGCCATCTTTTCCCCATACCTAAAGAGGTAGCATAAAGATAAAGATCCACATTTTTCTCCCCATTTTATTCTCCAGCCAATTGTCAAATATGTTGTTTTCTTTAAAGATGGCTTGTGTCACTTATTCACTGAAGCCTTTCCTGACCTACCAGGTAGGAATGGTCTCTTCCTCTGATGCACTTGTACTCTTGCTTCCTTCTAGACACTCTTATCATGTCACCCACAACCCGTTTTGCACTCACCTCACCTTAAGTATTACTCTTTCACCTTAGACTGAGGATTCCTTGAGAACAGGGATGGCATCATTAATACCTGCATCCCCAGTAATAATCCCACTGGCTGGCACAAAGTAACTACCCAATAAATGTTTGTGAGGTAGTACAAAATTGTTTTTTCCCAATTGTATGAATTCCATCTTTTAATAGATGGTGTTCCAAGGAAAAGGACACACTGAGCTACAATTTATAAGGCACCAACCTTAAGATATAACCAAAAACTTAAACCAAAAAAAAATGTGATTAGTCAAGGTTTGGATCTAAGAATATTTTGATGTTTGACATTTGTTTTAGTTGCACAGGTTAAGAAAATACATATTTGGTTTCAGGCAATAGCTCAAAAAGTGCTGGATGCCAAACACTTAGTAAGAAAAATAGAGCAAAATAAATAATCCATGGTCCTTGTCCTGCATAAATTCACATTCTCACAGTTTAGTGGGAGAGACACATCCATTTAACACAAGAAGGATGCAAAGTGCCAAGGGGCACAGAGGCAAAGAGAAATAAGTTCTGATAAGGAGAAGCTAGGAATTTCTCAAGAACAGGATTTAAGCAGAGATTTGGAAAATGGTTAAGACTTTGGTAGGTGGAACTATAAAAATTAACAACACAGCCAAGAAGGGGTGCAGAGCTGAGAGAATGCAGACCTGGGTACCAACAAAGGGTATGATGAGAAATAACAGGGCAGGCAAAGGCAATCAAGGAAGCTGAGGATTTGGGATTTATAGTAGTGTGAAGCTCCTAGAGATTTTAAAAGAGATTCTGATACCTATTTATTTGCTCAAATTTATATAGTTTTGAGTTAGTAGCAGTTTATTATTTTTTTTAAAAAATGTACTCATCTCAGTGAGATTCACTCTGATACCTATTTATTTGCTCAAATTTAAATAGTTTTGAGTTAGTAGCAGTTTACTATTTTTTAAAAAAATGTACTCATCTCAGTGAGATTCACTATTTGGCTGTTGATGAAACATTTGAATTTAATTCTGGGAATACTTACCGGAAGAGAAAGAAATGTATTGAAAAAATCAGCAAAGATTTCATCCTCTAGCAGAATTATAAGATTTGTAGAACTGATTATCTCTATGTGGGGAGAAAAAAAAAACCTTATGAATTAGAGTTGCATCAGGATGAGAAAATGAAGCAATAGAATGGATTATTTCACAGGGCCAAATCTCAGCATTTGATGATCTTTAGGGTCATCTATCTTGATTTTTCCCCCTCTCCAGGACTTACTCTGCGATGTCACTCTGCTTAAGCACTTCCAGCTGTGGGGAGCTCACAGCCACACAGGGCTACCCATTCCATTTATGAAGAGATGAAATTGTTATGAAGATTTTCCTACTATAAATTGCCTTCTTTTATCTTCTTTCCATTTGTAGAAGTTCTGCCCTCTGAACCTTGACAGAATTCATCTAAGTCCTCTTAAATGGGTTGCTGCTCTCATATTTATAAAAAAATCTCAACCTTCTGTTCACCTCAACCCCTCCGGCTCATCAGTCACTAAGCAATTCCTCAGCCATTCCTCAGATGGCCTCATTTCTACCTCCCTCTGGCTAGAGTGGCTCCCACAACTCAAGAACTCTGCATTCTTCCCAGGGAAGAGCATAAAACAACTTTGCCCATATTGCATGTTCTATTAGTGTGGCCCCAAATAGGATTAGCTTTGGGAGCTCTCACATTATACTATTAACTCCATTATCCTTTATTTATTCAGTCACTTTTCAGAAACCAAGGGCAGGAATTTACATTTATTCCAGTTGAAATTCAACTGGGCCCAACAGGAGCTTTTTTGAATACTGATTTGGTCATGCAAAGTATTTATAACTTCTCTCAGCCTTGATCATTGTGCTGCCTAAGTTAATCTGAGGAGATGAATATTGAATGTCACAAAGCCAAGCACAGAGACCATAGGTAGAGTAGGTGCCTCCTCAAAGTTTGCTCTGTCTATGCTTTTTAATGCACAACTAGTGAATAATCCAATTGTTTTATCAATGCCCAGCATTTTTCCATCACACCCAAAGTTTATAATGAAAGACTTGTAAAATGAGCAACATAAATACTGTATTAGTCCTATCTCTTAGTTGGGTTAAATGTCTGGTGAGAATAGCAAGTGCTACTCACAATTGTTAGAGTGTAGTTATGATAATATAAGAAAACTAAACAGACCCCTCCATCATTTTTCCTGATGACTCTTGGTTCTATAATAGAAATAGAACCCAGACAATCAAACACTCAATAGACAGAGCTGATGTCAGTTTTGCCCTTTGCTAGACAGATGCCTTTGCTGTTCTTTTTAGAAGCATTCCCTGATCTATTTCATGTATTCCACACGAATTATTCCAAAAATCTGTTTTAAGTCAAGACTTCTTTCCTTGGTTCTAGTTCTAAATATCCAATGAATTATGTATGGGACATCTCTCCATGGACATCTACCAGCACTTCCATCTCAACATTTTCAAAGCTTATATGATCATTTACTTCCTAGCTTGATCTTTTTCTGTATTCCCAATCTCAGTCACTAGAACCACCACTCTTCCAATTATCTAAATCAGAATCCTGAAAATCATCTATGATTACTCCTTTGCTCTATTTCTCTTCTTCTCAAACACTCCCACATGTAACAGAGGACCATGCTATGTGGTTTCTCCTCCTACATATCTCTAGAATCTATCCTCTCCTCTCCATCCATGCAGTCACTGTCTTATTTCAGGGCCCTATCATCTCTCATCTTGAGTTTATGGCATCAGTTTCTTATAATGGTCTCCCTATCTTTCCTGTCCAAGCACTTTGCACACACTACCACCTTAATCTTCTAATGTTGTTCTTATTGATACTGTTCAAAAACTACTCAATATGCTAAAGAACCCAAGCCTTCACTAGATCTGGCTTTTGGGTTGCCTGCCAGCACCATCTCCTACTACACCATATCATGCTTCCTTCTGTTTGCCAGCCAAGACATTGCTCTTTCCTGAATATGCTATACACTCTAACTTCCAACCTACATATCTTTATTCCCACATTCCCATCACCTGAAATGTCCTCTCAACCCATTTTTTTTGCAAAGCACTAGTCCTCTATCAAGAACTGGTTTACAAATAATCTACCACAATGGTAGACTCAATCACTACCCTCCTGCACCATCATTCACACCTCCCATTGTTATAATTAACAAGTCACTGTTTTCTTCCAAAGATCAGGTGGCATAAAGTGGGGGTGCGAGTTGGGGAGGAGAAGAAGAGAAAAAGAAAACAAAGGGCATGATACATAAAAGCCACATGTGGTTTAAGGCTGGGCAGGTGAGAGATTTGCCTTATGTAGCGGTTGCTAGAAGCCTCAGAGACATCCCTTTTAGAGACTCACCAGCATTGCTCATGTTGCCATTCTTTCCCTGCCACTGTGATTGATTTTAGGAGGCAGAATTAGCCCCCAGTCAACAGGACTCCACCCCTTGTGACCACACAGTGACACCCCCTCTAAGGGGTTCCAGATTCTATCAGGAAGTGGCCTATTTATCTCTGGTGTAGACCTTGATCTGAAGATAAGTCTTTGTTACCTGATCTCCTAGATCTCCTGGAATGTATCAGACTCTTCCTATACTTAGGCTTTTAGTCCATAGTATTTTGTGTGCACTGATAGTTTCCTTATAAATTTTTGTCCAATGATATAGATCTTGAGTTTTAGTTCTGTCTCCTTAACTTGACTTTATGCTTCAGGGAAGCAAGGATATGTTCACTTATTTCTAATGTGTCTTTTGTACCAATATCCTTCTAGAAATTTACGAGTACTCAATGAATTTTAATAACTTGACTTATCTTTCAGATAAGCTGGCAAATTCAATCAAATATCCAAGTGTGTTTTCCACCCTCTCTCCTCTTTCTCAGATAGTTTTTCCTCTGGTTGGCTGTGAGTTACTTCATAATCCATTGGCTTTGAAAAGGGATAAAATAAACATTAGTTCAACACCTTCCATAAGGAAGAAGCTAGGCTAGGTATTTATACTTTGTTCTCATTCAGTTCTTAACCTCACAAAATAGAGAGCATTGCCTCCCTTTCACTGAAAGATAGTAATTACACCACAGATTTCTGTGTTGATTCAAGACCCCATTTGATTCAAGAGCCCGTGTTATTTCAAATATGCTAGTAAATCATACTTACTTTTCACATGAAAAATGCATTTGAATGGACTTAAAAATAAGCCCCTTGGACTTCCTCACAATGATCTATTTTTCTGTATCATTTCTCCTACCACTTCTTGTGTATATCCTTACATGTTTAATTAGACTTCCTTTCCTGCAGATGGTACAAAAGAAATAAACCATATTTCTATGGAGAGAAGCTACTTAGAAAAAAGTCATCCCATATATCTAATAATTTACCAGAATATTGAAACAAAGCCATTTAATATTTTCATCAAATCATAGCATAGGTAACAGCTGGAGATTTTCTGTAATAAACTTTGACCCCAAAGTTTTTAATCTTGATCAGTCCCCCCATTCCTCTAGACCAGTCACTCCAGAAAAGATGGAAGCAAGCAAGAGACAATATGGGAAAGAAGCTGTATTTATTTATCTTTCATTTTAACTTTTCTCAAGATGGTATAACGTTTTTCAACTGTAAACTGGGCTCACACTACTTACACACTATCATCACCAGTTCAAAGAAAAAAACAGAAAACTTTATCCACATAGAAATAGTCCTAGAAATGAAAAGAAAGGAGAACAAAGAATTTTCAAGAATATTTCCAGTTTACCAAGGTTCAAAATATTTGTTGCAAGTTGGGGCATAAGTTTACTCACAGAGAACAATTTGTGGTAAGATAAATGTTTAGAATACTTTAATATGGAAATTAAATTTTGTTACTAATTTTTATTGCCTTACATGGATTTGAAGATTAAGATCTTCACTTCAAGTGTAGGTAAGTCATTTTGGGGTCATCCAGGCTTTGGGTCTGATTCACCACATTTGGATCTTTCCTTGCAATGTCCTAGGATACCTGTAAATTAGCCCAAAGAGGGTCCTGATCACTGAGTGGGGTCAGGAGAAAGTAATTTAGTAGGGTTTTGTGCTGTTTTATTTTGGTCACTCAGTTTCTGACCACTTGCCCCACTTGAGTGAATCCTGCCCTGACAGCAAGGACATGACACCTGCCCTAAACTCCACCAGAACGTTTCATCTTAGAGGCATGACTCAAAATCTGAGGGGCAATGTGAGACTATGTATGATGGTGCCTATAATAACGAATGCTCAATGGTGGGGTGCCAGCAGTAGTGGCACACTGTGAATGGCCACAAATGCTGAAAGAAGATGCTCTACTTGAAAATGAGGTTTGATTTATTTTTTTTATGAGCTTTGATTTAAATGGGAGGTGGTGCTTACCACAAATGACAAAGTTTATGCAGGTATCACAATAGCAGCTATGGCAGTGTCAGTATCAGAATGATCCAATCGATAGATTCTTTTTGATGGCTACTGATCTAAGGATCCCTTGGAAAAATGTGTCTGTAGGCCACTAGGATTTTACTTCATAATATAAGTTCTATTATGATGGCAGGGATTTTTGACTGTTTTATTTAATTATGCATCCCAAACCTGTAGAGCAGTTTCTATCACATGTAAGCACTCAATAAATATTTGTGAAGTGAATGTATTAATATCAATAGGAGCCTATGTATAATTAATATAAAAATGAGCCATCACAGTGAAATATTGAATCTCTCGTTCAATTTTCAGTCCTGAGTGAGACACAGGAGCTTTTAAGTAAAAAGAAAGCATTCTTTGCCCTTTAGGAGGAACTTTGCAGTACTTTTGCAGAAATTACTGTGAATCTCTTTCCTAATCTTTGCTAAAGAGATGTACTGCCATTTCCAGTGTAAAGATGCCCAAGGAATGTGGGTATCTATCAATGTTATGTACGTGATTCTTTTAGAAAGAGACTGAAGAGATTTTTTTGTTGTTGTTCAGGTTGTGATAGCTCTTTACAAAGGACATGATAAACTAAGGAATAAAATGAGATTAGTAAACCATCCAGAGCTTCATCCTGAAATCTCTTGTATCACACTAACAAATGAGGTAATTGATAATTGATTGAAGAAATATGGTAGGATATCAACTCATCTTGGAACACATAAAACATCAAGACATAATGAATCTCTTTACTTTAAAAATCAAAATCACTTTAAAGAAGAATATCTGGCCTTTACATATACTAAAGAAACTGTAACACTTTTCCAAATCTAAATGATAAATTATTGGCGGTTCATTATTAACATTTCTTCTAACTTCCAAAGTTCTTCTGTTTTATGGGACAACAAGATTTTTAGATATGACGAGCTTCCCAAAAATCCTAGAGCTTTTCAAGTTTTTAAGCCTCTTTTGGGTATGATACTGAATGATTCTCCTCTCAGTAACTTTTGGCCAAATTAGGGCTTATAGCAGTGATGGTCCATGAGAAGAGAACCAGAGAAATGGAAGAATTGTTTAATAAGATAACCAAGTGCCTGACAGCCCTTCAGAGAAAGGGGATTCAAGCCTCTTGTAGGCTGATGTTTCAGTGGACAGAATGTCCAGGAGATATTGCTTGTCAAAATAATACCAACTAGTTTTCAAAACCCTTGGAAAGTGAGTTTAGTGATGCAAAAGTCACAAGGTTGGAGAGGATAGAGTAATCTGGAAAGGGACTTAGAAAGGTTACTAAACAAATAGAAAGTTAGATGGCAGTACATTGAAATAATGGCCCCTTTGCAATCTGTTCTCTGAAACTAACATCCTATTTTAACAGTAGAAAAATAAATCACAATAATTAGGGATTGGATGAACTCAGCTGAAAGACAATGGCATAGAGGAAGTCGTATTCCATGTCCAACTCATCTTCATGACTGTAGAGCCTGGCACTAGTAGGTGCTGGATAATTCAGTTCAACTGAGAAATCAATGTGAAGACAATATGGAAGTTTTAAGTCCTATACAAATATAAAGACCTAAAAGTTGTGATTGAGGAATTGGGACACAGAAAGAAGATGAAGGAGAGACAAAGCAAATAACCTAGAGTCATTGTCCCAGTGTTCACTTATAAAAGTTTAGATATGATATTGATAGACAATAGACTTCTCCTAGGGAGAACTGTGACTTCTGATTCAAAACTTTGTGTTTGTTACTGCTCCTCGTCAGCTATCTAAGGAAAAGATACAGCATGTAGAATTTAGACCTTGTTCCTAATTATTGTCATCTTTGCTGATACAAAGACCTCAGAATGATGGTCAATACAATTCACGTAAGTTTTAAAGTCAAAGGAGGTGTAATTGTATCCTGCATAAAAGGTTCCAAATGCTTTTGGTACGTAATTAGGTCTTGGTGCAATTATCTACAGTAATACAGAAAAAGAATAAAAATTGGGAAAGTCTTTCACAAAAATACCCTATTTAACAATTCCTTTTAAGGAAACATACTGAGTTATAAGAGGACAGTCTTTTGTACTGGTGATTAGTGAAGTCTTGGCCAAAGGTCAAAAAAAAATCTCATGGATATGATCATAAAAAGGAGTCTACCCTATAGTTCTAGGGTTAGTCTTGGTCCTTTATTCTTTGATCTAAAATACATATAAAAATTCAGACAGAGAAGCCTCAAGAAGTTGGCAACAATAATTTTCTTTTGGTTGAGTGGAAAATCTTAAATTTTGAGTTTCATAATATGAAGTGACTGAGAAATTTTGACTAACAAAATATGGAAATGGTATCTGTTTAGGAAAATTTGATTTATCAAATGTGTGATGACACCTACAACCTGAAAATAAAAGGTTGGAGAACCATTTACCATTCAAATGGTTCTCAAAATATACCCTAAAAACTACAGAACACTTCTGAAAGAAATTGAGGAAGACACAAAGAGATGGAAAAATATTCCATGCTCATGGATTGGCAGAATTAATATTGTGAAAATGTCAATGTTACCCAGGGCAATTTACACGTATAATGCAATCCCTATCAAAATACCATGGACTTTCTTCAGAGACTTAGAACAAATTATTTTAAGATTTGTGTGGAATCAGAAAAGACCCCAAACAGCCAGGGGAATTTTAAAAAAAGAAAACCATATCTGGGGGCATCACAATGCCAGATTTCAGGTTGTACTACAAAGCTGTGTTCATCAAGACAGTGTGGTACTGGCACAAAAACAGACATATAGATCAATGGAACAGAACAGAGAACCCAGAAGTGGACCCTGAACTTTATGCTCAACTAATATACAATAAAGGAGGAAAGACGATCCACTAGAAGAAAGACAGTCTCTTCAATAAATGGTGCTGGGAAAATTGGACATCCACATGCAGAAGAATGAAACTGGACCACTCTCATGCACCATACACAAAGATAAACTC